CAGTTACAAAAGTATTCAATGATAGAGTCCACTAAATATCATTCTTAATGGAAATTTGGGATAACCTGTCAGGGGTAGGACCCATTATAAAATCTACCAGGACAGAGGATTTTCCCTGGGTCCCCAGGCAAACAAGCATAAGATCAGCAATAAACTTTGTTCCCCTTGAAGTTTATCATCACTGAACTAAGATAGTGATAAATTTCTCCCCACCAGACTCAACCCTTTGTTGGCAAACACTCCTCTGTTTACATGTGTTCAAATCAGTGTACATTTTCACTGCTAAGGATCTGTGCTACAGCTCTTCCTCACCGAGGAAATGGCTTTTAAGTACTAACTATGGGTGGATGCAAGGTAGTTAGAGGGGAGACTTAATGAAGTTTTAAATTTGAGCAAAAAATAGAAAAGCACGATTATTACACTAGGCAGTGATGTCTTTTCAAAGTTTAGGCCAGTGCTTTTCAAAGTTTAATGTATTCATGAGTCACCTGGGATGTTGTTAAAAATATCTGCTTTACTCTGGGGTAGAGCCTGAGACTCTGCCTTTCTGGAAAGCTCGCATCTGATACTGACATGGACAGTCCGTGGACCAGACTTGACTTAGCAAGTTCCTAACTGGTGTTGAGAAATGATTGGATGCACGCTTCGGTAGGAATTAGCCTTCAAGGATTTGCATGATAGGTAACCAGGAACATGTTTGATGTAAAGTACTAGTTGGAAGAATTCTTTTCTGATTCTTTTGCTTTGGTAAGTTTTCCACTTAACAAAATGAATGTGTCAGTCGTTCATTTTTAGATGTTACATTCTAGGCTAAAGCCCTTTTGAAGAAGAGGTTTGGGGTGCTGGAACGTTACCAAAGAGAAAAACCGGACAATTTAATTCTCTAATCAAGTGTTGCCTGCTGGGCAGAATTTAGCATAATTCTCATTTTGAATCCTTGCTCTTTCCTTCTTTTTCCAGAAAGGGGAGAATTAGTATTTCACAAACAGGTCAATAATTTTGTGAATTCAAAGATAGCTTATCGCTAATAAAGTTTCCAATTGAAAAAGTAATTAGTTTGGTCAAGGTGAAATCTGAGAAAAGGATTGAAAAAGACAGTTTGTCAACCGCAGTGTCAGGGAAGAAAGACCCTTTCCAGAAACTTTTCATGTTCCTGATTCCATTTGATTCTAATCAAGAAAGGGCAGGATAACTGGCGACACCAGGAGGATTGTCAATTTCTCTATCACTCCTCCCTTGTTGTGATGACGTCTGTGCCAGCATCCAGGTTAATGTTTCCCCCAAATTTCCACAAGCTTGGTAATAAGTATTTGTGCTGAAAGATGATTCTGAGCTCAAACAAGTTGGAGAGCCTCAAGGTTAGCAGACCTTCTGTCTCTTTGCCTTCTGAAAAACCTTAATATGTTAATAAGCACTGGATCCTCCAAGAGGGCTCCACAAAACACCAGCTTCCAAATTTGACTTGTTGATTTAACTACGAACCATATTTTTCACGAACTGTTTCTTTTAATGAGTGTTTGGCATCCAGCCATGGTGGCACACATCTGTAATTACAGCAATCTGTAAGGCAGGGGGATTGAAAGTTTAAGCCCAGCCTAGGCAATTTAGCAACACACTGTTTCGAAAAAGAAAGAAAAGAATGAAAAAAGAAGCCAACTAACTAACTAACTAACTAACTAACTAACTAACAGAAAACCAAGACCAAAAGCCTAAACTGGCATATTCTGCTTTGAGAAATGCTGGTTTAGAGAAGCTGACTTTAACAGACTTCAACAGAATTTATTAATCTCTAAATATGAACAAGAGAGTAGAAATCTTGAGTGGGTGGATGTATGGGATAGGAAATTTCTGCAAATATCAGTGGTTAACAAAACCCTTTTGGGAAGGTAAAGGAATCATAGACGATAGGCATTTAGAGGGAAAACAAGTTAACAAAACCACTGATAAAGTCTTTATTTAATATATTAGGCTTCTAAACAAACCATACTTGTAGGTGTTCAAAGTCCGAGACCGTTGGTAAGATTCATCTTTTCTGGGTCTGAGTTTCATGTGCAGAATGAAGACAGGGTTGCCCTCCTCACAGGGCGGTAGTAGGGAGTAACAGATGTGTAGCAGACACAATCGTGAGCACACAGTAAGAAGCACATAGATGGTAGCTTGCTTCTATGGTAACAAGTGGTTTTCTGGGGAAAGTACTTGATAGGTTCCTTTCCTTTGTTTTATAGGGCTTCAAGGAGGTGGTGATAGATTCATGCCAGGATCACCTGGGGGAACATTTTCAGAATATGCATGCTCAGGTGCCTGCTCAGCCCTGGTGAATCATAATTTAGTGGTGGCAGGAGGGAAGGATGGATGAGTGCATATTTTTAAAAAGTTTCCTCCCGAGATGATTGTGATACATTCCTAATGTCCTTAATGTTATCTGCAGCAAATCTTTTAAGTGTTGATCCATCAAACCTGTAGTAGTTCTGATATAATCCCTGGAGTAAAAAGCTTCTGTGCTTAACTGTTTAGAAATCTGTGTTAGTTCCCGCTCCTTTTCTTCTTGGATCTCATTAAAATATCAGAGAGGTTTCGCAGTACACAATATTCAAAACTTGTAACCTATTGTCTCCTGATCTTATTTGACCTCACATTTATGCGTTTTGGAGCTCTGCTCCACATCTTTGCTCAAAACATCAGGGCAATCCTATGGCATAGCGTTAGCCAAAAGCCATCCACCCTCAGAAATCTTTTTGTGTTACAGAGTAAAGGAGAAGTGAGGTAGCAAAGAGCAGCTCAAACACTTCCTTCTTAGGGAGTGGGCTGAAATTTAATTCTACTACTTTAATTTTCCTGCCACCCGATACTTCTACGTGGAAAGAATATTGAAAGTGATAACTCTGTGCATGTGAGTCAGCATCTAGGTAAACAAAGGGCCAAGGAGCTGTGCCACCACAGACTTTCAGAGCTGTGGGTTTGAATTCTGGTTCTCACTGTCCCAGCTCAGTGACTGGGGGAAAGTTACACAAGTGCTCTAAGCCAGGGTCCTTAGGTGTAGACTGGAGACAATAACAATACCTATGTCTTGGGCTGTTGTGAAGATGTGAGATAATCATACAAAGTCCATAGTGTGTGGGGCTGGAGATTTAGCTCAGCGGCACAGCACCCGCCTGGCAAGCGCAAGGTCGTGAGTTCGATACCGGGAACCGGAAAAAAACCAAAAAAAAAAAAAAAAAAAAAAAAAAACAAACCAAAAAACCAAAAACAAAACAACAAAAAACCCAAAGTCCATAGTGTGGACTCCTGTTTATTACTGAATTAGGAGAAAAATACTCTTGAGCACAGGAAAGGAGAGAATCTGAACAAGAATAGAGAACTCTGCAAATTTTCAAAGTCAAATAAACTTTTTTTTTCATATATGAATTTACTTTTTTTTTTTTTTTTTTTTTTTAGTGCCAAGTATCCTGTGAGAATTCAGGGTTAGAGTTTGGGAGACTGATTAAATTGGCTGGTCCAGAGCACTGGACTGTGAACGACCCTTTCCCCTGACTTCATTCTAGTTAAATCCCAAGCTATTAATTAATATGCACAAAATAGCTTGGGAGTTTCTGCCAAAGACAGAAAGAAAAGGCACTGATTGAAATACAATAGCGCTGAAGTGATTGCCCAAGAAAGAGTGAAAAAGATGCACAACTGGATGTGGAGTTTGGGGGTGGGGAGGGTGAAGGAGAAATTCACAAGCAAATGCAAGTTTACTGCTCTTAGGACTTAAAGAAAAAAAAAGAAATAAAAGAAAGCCTCTATGTGCCATGCATGTAGTCAGGCTAAGGTATCAGGCTTACACACACATGTGCACACACATGCTCATCCCTGTGTGTCTATACATGTATGTATAACGTATTTACTACATATTAAGTAATAAGAAAAAATATTCAAAAGCCTCTAGTCAAGAAACCAGGTCACTAGGCCCTAACCCCAATGTGGATTGCTACTGCTGGTCTAGAAGGACTTTATGAACTTAGACCAGAGTGCCTCCTGCCTTTTCATAAACACTAGGGTGACTCAGTGAATGTGGGAGGGAAAGCAAGGGGATGACCAATCGAGAGGTCAAGCCTCCACTTGGGGGCTGACTCAGAGGTTGCAGACTGACTGGCAGACGGCTGGGTGACGTTGATGGTGACGTGGTGAGGGCCACTCTCTTTTCCGGTGGCAGCAACTGGCCCCACAGTAGCAGGAATAGTTTTACAAAGTAGGGACCAAATTCTACATCTTGTTCTTCACTTTTCTTATCCTATTTCAATGTCATAGCAGAACTTTGGGAGAGCTGTTACCATTCCCATTGATGGGACAAGAGGAGACTTTTGAGGACTCAATTCACACCAGAAGGACTTTTCATTATTGTTGTTATTTTTATTGGTGGTACTGGGGATTGAACCTAAAGCCTTTGCTCTGAGCTACTTCCCCAGCTCATCTTACTTTTTATGTTGAGATAGCATCTTACTAACTCACTAGCTTGCCCAGGCCACTTTCAAACTTGTGATCCTCCTGCCTCAGCCATGGCTTCCTGCCCTCACAGAGGAAGGCCGAAGTGGAAAAAGAGTTTTCATACCTTCCTGCTGCTTGGGAAGGGGCAAAAGAGCCTTGTTTCGTGGGCAGGGAGCAGTTCCAGAGCTGAGGTGGGTAGAAGGAGGTGGCATGAACACAGAAGACAGGGCTGAACAGGAGCACATGAACAGTTCTTAGACTGCTCGGTTTTGAGCACAGAGCGAATTTTTCAGATGAAGAGTGAGTCCCCGTTTAGGAACTCTGATGCCATCAGCAAGTTATTTAGCTTCTCTGAGCCTCACTTCCTTGCCTGGGAAATGGGCATAAAATCTATATCAGAGGAGCCAGTGTTTCTAACATGTTTGGGGAAGAGGTATTGGCTTCTTTCTCCTTACATAGGTTCAGTTTTCCAGTAGCTCTAGCTTGCTGCTTCCCCGCAACCTCTGCACTGATGATTTCAGTATGGGCCCTACCTGCTGTGAGAAGCCCTTCACCACACATCTCTGCTTGAGATTTGTCTCTCCATCCAGGTTGGCGGTTTCCAGGTGGCAGATCCCACTGGGGTCCGAGGAGAAGAGGAGCAGGATGTCTGCTGGGATGACCTCGTTGCACTGCATTTGTACGAAGTCTCCCACGCGCACATCCTTCCAGCGCTTCTGCACGAAGCTCTGCTCTCTCCTGGGGTGAGAGAAAGACAGGGATCTCAGTGAGCTTTAAGATGCTTTAGGAAAATAATCAGTCAGTGGAGGAAGGTCCCACCTGCACCTAATTACTTTCCAAGTCTGCCTGTCACAAGACTGCTCTAGATTCTCCTTGACCCCAAAGGGCCACCATCATAATCTCTGCAAGACAACAAGCCATCCCAGGAACATAGGATGTGTTCTTGTGATTATTTAGGATTTTGATTAACTGCACACTGATAGCTATTGAACAGGTGCTGTGTGTAGTTTTTGCTTCCTTAGCAAGGGAAAAAATTTAAAAGGGACTTAATTATATATGAACGGTACTATTAATGTATGTTATTAACCAGCATAGCCAATAATCACCAAAGAGCAAAGAAAGCAAAGTTGTAAAGAACTGGGATTAAGATTTTTTTTTTTTTTGGTTCCAGGGTTTAAGCCCAGGACCTTGGCACTGAGGTACATTCCCATTACTTTTCCTTAAAATTTTGAGGCAATGTCTAACTAAGTCACTGAGTTGTCCAGGGTGGGCTTGCACTTGCAGTCTTTCTACCTCAGCCTCTCAGAGTGTTAGGATTATATGTATTTTTTGCAGGGGACTGGGAATCGAACTCAGGACCATATGCTTGCTAGGCAGATGCTTGTACCACTATCCCCAGTCTGATCATATGCATTTAACACCACACCCAGATGGATTATTTTTGATGAAGGGGAGAAAAACGGCAGTAATAAAGGTGAAGACATTGGTCACTATCTAGAGATATTTAGGGCAGTGATAAAAAAAGAAAATTATATAACTATGGCATTAAGAAGAAGGCAACAGACACTTTGATGGGAAGGGACTCTTATTAACCACAGAATTGAATCAAGGGGCTGAGGAAATGACACATTCTATCTTGTTATTCAATTTATGAAGCTTAGATGAGAGCAGGAGCAGCAGCAGTCATAAATTTAGCATTTCTAACCTGCTGAGCTCTAATGTCATTAATATTTCATTACTTGCATAATAATCTGTTGGCATAAATAAATATTTTCCCCCAAAGCCTCCAAAACCAGAGCTGAAACATGAGCTGGGACTTCTTTTTTTTTATTTTTTTTATTTTTTATTTTTTATTTTTTGGTTTTTCTCCGGTACCGGGAACTGAACTCACGACCTTGCGCTTGCCAGGCAGGCGCTTTTGCCGCTGAGCTAAATCCCC